TCGTCAGGGGATAGAACCCCGGACCATGTGCATGATCGGCGAGAGTCATAACCGCTGAGCCACCGACAAAAACTGCACGCCTGAGCGCACCTGATTAGGGTCCGTCGCGAGTTTCAACCCAACGAGGTACAATGGTGGGCCTCCACCTGGGGTCAGAGCATTCTTGATCACCCTGAACCCGGCGCCAGGTTCTTCTTGATAGAAAAGATCTGTAGCTCAGGTGGACGATTTGCAATTAGTCGTGTTCTCTGAGCTGGTCGGTTTAGTTGAAGAGCTTTCGTCATCCTTCTGGACAACATCTTCAGTGCAATTTTTGGCATATTGTGAATTGATTTAAATTTTCCATGAGTGATAGAATTGCGTCTCCCGGTAACCATTTTTGCATGTGTATTGATCATTTTTTATTGACTTGGATTTTAAACTCTTTTGCCACATGATTTACTTTTTATTAGTTGGCATATTTGGTCTACATTAACATGTTTGTTTATCACTACTATTAAATCACTGACGCATACGATATTTATTTTTCAAAAAACATTTTGAATATCAGGAATTTATTGCAACAAACTCAACAGAAACAGAATTCAACTTCTTTGAGAAGTGATCAAATCTACAGTTTCTTCATAACAAATGGCTTCTAGTAAAATAAAGAATTTAACAAATTTGTAAAGCCTTAATAATTTGGCTCAGAATATCTTGATATCTAAGTTTTATTGAATAAAAGATGTGAAGTTTGATGCGTCATTTTAAAATGCATGTGATCTTTTTAAACATTGCACATAGATCCTGTATTAAACTTTTCGTATTGCTAGTTTTTGCAGCTTGAGCGCAGACATTACACACAAAAAGCAACTGAATAAAAATCAAATCAGGGTGGCATTTGGTTTTTGGGTTCTCAACACAGATCTCCATGACTTTTCACTCTATTCAGTTTTATTAGTAAATTCAAGGCACTTTACATATTTTGATGCTGTTTTTTTCCGATGATTAGAAAATCTGAAGATCACGTGTCTTTTTTGTCTTTTTTAGGTTTACTTTCTAGACGTTGGCAAAATGATGAGTAATAAAGCAAGTTCTCCAATCACAAAAATACAATTTCAGAGCTAAAACCATATGCTTGGCATATATTAATAACTTTAAGTTTTGTATTACTATTACGGTAAACAGTTTAGAAAAACCACTTTAACTTTCATTTAAAAAACAATCATTCTTTCAAAATCAAACATATCAATATGGAGAGAATCTAAGCCTTAGATGCCATGATTTTCTAGTAGACTGAGAAATCATACATGCTATCTCCAACTACCTATGATAATCAAGAAAAGTTCAAATAAAATTTTCTTAAATAGCCTTTAGACTGCAAATAAAAACATATAATGGTAAATTGTCAAGTCCCAGATACTATGAGATTTTCTCAACAGCATAGCAAAACATGTTTTTGGAATTACGTGAATACTCCCAACTAAATGTTTTCGGACGATCAAGCGGCAGTTTTAGTTAGTGAAACTTGTCCCCTTCAAAGAGACACAGTTCTTCACTAATCTTTTGACTGAGTAACTAAATAATAATTAAAAATATAGACTTGTTCAGTTAAGAAATATTTCACTTCTAAGACTTAGTTTCTGATCTGTATAGTCGTATTTATGTTAAATAAAAAACATAAGGTGGCATTAAAAATTGCTATGCTATGATAAACATAATCAACATGACTTTTACAGTGAGGGTTCATTTGAATTGGATGAATTACAGAATTACAAAAGACTACTGAAGAAGTCAACTGATGTGAATAGATTTCTAAGTGGATCAACTGATGTTAACACTTAAATTTATGATGGTGCCAATAATAAAAAAGGAGAAGATAAAGTGAAGTGGAGTGAAACTAACGAGAAAGAACAGGGTAAACGAAGGGGACATAACGAAACATTTTTGAGTATATGATTTAAGTATCCATTCATATATATCTAGTGCTTCGTCTATATACAGGCGGGAAAAAAAATTGTGAAGTGATTGAATTTAGTACCGTAGACTGATTTTAAAGATAAATCAAGTGGGACTTAGTTACCTGACCCAAGGAGGCGTTAATAAATGGAAGACTTCATTATTGTGTGTTCTCCTTTCATCAAGCAAACTGCATAATGTTCAGCTGCACACTTCTTGATAACTGACTTATAATGTTCAATGTAATGAGCTACAAAGGGGCACATGAAAGAGGATATGCACAACTAGTTTGACATAAGTGGCGATTTATTCTTTACACATTGAGAAACCATACTCTGTATCTTTCCTCAGCACTAAGATATGTCAGATTTTTTAGATTTCAGAGATGACCAAATAACTCATTATATAGCTCAATGTATTACAAATATGGCGTCGGTGGCACGGCGGTAGAATGCTTGCCAACTACGCCTTATGTGGTCCGGGGTTCGATCCTCCGCTGACGCACTCCTTTAACTCGCCAAGCCAGTAATAAGACTGGTAAGAGGGAAGGTTGGGCATGAAACTAGCAACCCCATCCCGTAAAAATAAACACCACTGCTACTGAAACTTCAAGCCTCTAGCTGGAAGCCATATGTTCCACTGGGAATGTAAAGGAATAAATAAGTATAAAATTACATATACGCAAATTTAACAAGAACAGTGATAAAATTGAGAGGTGAAATTATAAGTCACAATTACATAGGACCTACATTTCTCCCCATTGTACTATGGAATAATAACACCAAATATCTTTGCATTTTAATTTTCCATTTCACCCTATTCATTTACTTTTGTATGCATGTTACCTGAATAACAACAGATAACTACTGATTTGTTTGAAGATCCAGTTTGCTAGTAATCGTTTACTATTAATCATATTTAAGGTCAAATATTATAGGTAGTTTTTTAATTTGTAGCAGAATACTTAGTGCCTATCGTTTTTGAGAATAATATATATTTTCAAGAATTGATTTGTAGGGATTTGATCTTTTTGAGTTAAACTGCGGACTGATATCAGTTACAGTACAGTTAGAACAGCTGTCCAGTAATCCCTGATTTTCAATGGTTCTCTAACTGATATCAACTCGTATTCTAACTCGAAAAGTAAATATATATGTTTACCTTTTAACAAAAATTGACCACAAATATTGTCTAAAATCGAATTTTTATGCCTATTAATTTTCAGCCGAAAAACTTTTGAGTTTTATGAAGTGGTCTTGTAGTTTATCTACAAAGAAACACAAAAAAGTATAAAACTTGGTCACTGTGGTAGAGTATAATTCCATAATGGATAAGATTTTATTTTGATAAATCACACAGTGTAGTACAGTTATATTAACTGATGACGTTTCGAGCACAAACTATTGCTCATATGATTATGAGCAATAGTTTGTGCTACACTGTGTGATTTATCAAAATAAAATCTTATCCATTATGAAACACAAAAAAGAAGCTTCAATTTGCTTATAGTTGTTTACTGAATTCATCTGAATCAGAGGTAGACTGTAAACTTGGAACAAAAGCATGAATGAGACATTCAAACAGTTGAATGGATACAAGTGACATCTAAGTGTAGCTTCTTTGTATCTTTAATAAGCGAAAAAAAATTCAGAAGGTTACGATCGAAATCTTTTCTTAGACATTGGTAACTCAAAAATATTTTTGTGTGTCTATTTCTTTGTATTTATGCAACATTGTTAGACCTATTGTAACAGATTCTTCCAAAATTATTTCATGTTATGTATGGATTGAAAAATCAAAGCAATGAGAAACTGCAATGGGTCTGTTTACTATATTGAAACGTACATTTGAACATATAGCACTTAGATTAATGCGTTTTATGGTCAAATATTTTGCGTTTCTGGGATCAATGATTTAATAAGAAACTTGATACTGACTCTCGTAAAATGCCTGAATGTCTGATAGTTGCTTTTAGTTAGTGGTAAGTGAACAGTTCAGTTTTACACTCTGGCAAATTTGTTAGCAATAAAAGCATTGGGATGGGCCCTGAAGCTTCTTTGTTTCAAGCTCACCAGCTACAGTGTGACTTAAAGGTTATGTTTTGTTATAACTACACAGAAAAATAAACTTCGTTATAAAGGCTGTATCAACACATAAACATGATGAGAGTTTTAAGCCACTTCACATAATTAATCCACAAAATTTTTCCATATCCGGTTTGCGTATGATTGAACAGTATCGATTATTTTCATTAATACAGCCTTGCTGATTTGGTAATTAACACTTTTATCTTATTTTTCATCCTTTCAAATTCTTATTTTGTCAAAATAAACTTCCATGTACTAAATTATGTGCAAGTCGCTAATCAGTCTTCGCAAAAGTGTATTTGCAGAGAATAAGAATGACCAGTTACAACTGACCACATCAAAATTAAATCACTAGAAGTAGAAACATTGTAAACAGAAATCATACTAGAGCAGTGGGCGGCACTGTCACAAACAGAAATCTAGATATTACAGCTTATCAGTAAAGTTTCATCGTACACAAAATACCAGGAAGCACGTTCTTCGGGCGCAGTGCAGAACTTTCGGGACAAACAACTTTGGGCGTAATGCAGAACTTGGGACAGTTATCTGCAGTCATTGCTAGCTGGGATCAACATATTAAATAAATTATTTTAGAAAATGTAGTGTATGACTTGGAATGAATAGGCGGATATGGAGGGATTCTGGACTACTTCTTATTATTTCAGGCAATTCTCTGCATAATTTCGGAACTTTGAGCCGCTTAATTTATTCTCCCCATCTTTGTACCCACTTTGACCATGTCAACGAAAAATTCTCTGAGTGTTACAATATTAGATCATTTATTTTAGTGAAAAGGTCACATGGCCATTATAATTTGTAAAGCCATATCAATAAGTTGTTTAAGCAAACTCTTATGTGAATAAACCATAAAAACTAAACATTTTAGGGATATATTCGAACATGGAACTTTGAAACAATAATTTATATTGACATTTTGTGTCAGAGAATAAAGTAAAAATATTTTGTGGTGCTTACTAATTATTCGGAAGTAAAATCAGTTGAAAAGTCACAGCATTTTGAATACCATCTGTGACTATAGCGAAGACACATAGGCATTTACAATTTACCGCTAATTAGTATTCAATGTACAATACAGTAACACAGTTTATTATAAGACTTCACAATTAGTATATGTGTTTCCATACTGATAAGTGATTCTATATTCCATATATACTTCCATTTTGAACAAGACGTTGTTTTATTATATGTACTTTGTCATTTAGATGCCAGCTGGTAGAGTGAGGAATTCTTTCGTTTGGATTATACCATTGATCTGGTTAGAAAAGATGGGTATCCTGTGACGGGACAGTTTCCAGGGTTGCTTAGAAAGGATAGCACCAGTTATCAAGCACTAAGGGGGAGAAAAATACAGTAGTACTAGTAGTAATTTAATGAGGTAGGGAATCATATTAGACAAATAATAAGAGATACGTTCTAGTTTCATTTCATGTACAAGAATAGTGGGACCTTCCTTAAGAGTTGGATCTGTCTATGTTATTTCTAGTAACATCCTGAATTCTATCCTAAACCCGGGTCACACTACGGAAAGCAAATCACAGGTGCTATCAGTGGACATTTATAAAGACGCAACTTGGAATAATGTGATCATTATGGAGCGATAACTGTCATGTAAATAAAAGACTTTCAAGAGTCCTCATGAACCCAAACGCTTTTTCCCTCTTAAATAGTCCTAATTGTTTCTATTCTATTGTCTCTTGATATATCAATCCGATGTTATAAAAACTACTGCTAATGAAAGGCAGCGATCGCGGCTGGTGATCACGCAGACTTGTGTTTTGTTATCTCTTCGTGGACTATTTATAGAATATTAACCACATTATCTGATACTGGTAGTTAGCAGTCATTTTAGTTCCTAGATGAATTTTTGGGCAACATAAAGTAGACTTTTGTTATTTTGGTCTTTTGAAGCCTGTACAAAGAGAGAAGGCTTCATTTTTCCACTGGCTAGCATTTTTGGCCAGTTTTCTTTTTGCAAATGGGTTAGGACAGTCTCTAGTGTATGCTGAGTGGCCGAAGCAGGTGATGTCAAATGGCTCTCTGAGACATGGAGCTTAGCTTGAAAATATTGAATATCAAACCACTGTTTCAGCCAAATACACAATTAGTACCATGTCTTGTGGCCTGAAACAGTCAAATTCGATCCCTTAGCATATGAAAATAATGCTGTTTACCGTTGTTGGGAAATTTGTTGTTAAGCTAGCAGGATATTATCCTCTTCACATACGGCATATTGGTTACGCTAGACTTTGATACTGTGAATATTTCAGGACTAGACCCCCATATACCAACAGATATTTGGCGAAATCTCGTTGTTATGAAGATATGTCAAGATTCAAATGCCCAGATTATTTAGGTAGATGTTAAATGTCACGTTCTAGAACAGCTGTTAAAATTTCACTTGGAAATTTTTTTGTCAATAATTTTTAATAAAATTGTGTTATATGTCATCTGGATTGATGGGAATTCCCATTTTCAGGCCAGTTATTTTGGTGTCCGTGTCATGTAATCTGACTGCGACACCCCCTAGCATATCGGTTGCAACGATCAGTGTTTCAGGCGAACTGTAGCAAAATATCGCTATAATGAGAAAGATGGGATAGTTGAAAGGTAATGTCATCTACACAAATAGTTTACTTTATTTAGATGCTGCACCTTTCGGCATGGTATCATTCAATGGAGACGATTCACGTCTCAGGATATTAATTCAGCCTATTTTCGTGTGAAGAAGAGTCCTTTTTGACAAAAGAATTCTATCAGTACTTGGAAATCACTTGTAAATGCTAACAGAACCTTCTGTGGGAATAGAAGTAATCATGTAGATGTGTCTCACCGTATGTGTGTTTTGACAGGAATTATCGTAAGTTAAGAGGTTTTTTCTAAGTGTATTTCATGTATATTTGCACTGTTTGGTGTAGCGTAATAAGAGCTAAATGGACTCAATGCATAAAAAAATCTCAACTTTATTAATATTGTGCCATTGCTAAGCTGACTGCTTGGCTGGCAAACGTAGGTGGTTGTCATGATTATTGCAAGTGCAGTGCCGTGGAGAAGGCAATCACTCGTTTAAATTTCCTTACTGTGCCACTTAGTGCATTAATTCAGTGTATAGTATTATTATACACATGGATTGTGTCGATTATGAGAACTGAATCTGGTCAGCTCTATTACTATCAGTCTACTCTCTGTTATGCCATTCTCACTGGCACTGTAAACTTAATGCTGCAATGTTTTTGGTCACCAATAGTGGTGATGAATTTTTCCTGAATTTTCCATTGACATGAAGCAGTACAGATGCTGCATCACGAGTGAAAGTTTAGGTTGCATTATATGTCATTGTTATCCTCATCAACACAACAGGTCTGCGTATCTTACAATATTTCAAGTGTTTCTCTATGCTGCTAACACTGTGCACAGCTGTTTAGAGTTGAAGCATGTTCAGCTTATATTTGATGGCTACAGATTCCTTAATGTGAGAATGTAATTTCTGTAGGATTCATAAAAGTATGCTCATCAGACATTATTGAGATTATGGATCAATTTCTAAGTTACACATTTGCAATACTTCATTTAATGTAAGCGTAGTTAGTGTTAGGTTGATCTGCAAGTAAGGTTGATGAGAGAATGACGCCTCAGCAGTATGGATGCTTCAGATATTGTCTTGAAATTTGCGTATAATCCTCTAATGCTGGAAAACAACTGAGGTCTATTTATGGAAACGGCGTCAATATAAAAACCAGCTGTGGACTACAAATACTTTCATTTGCATGAGATATTACTTAGTATTGACAGAATCAGTGTATTCATAGTGTATGCTTATATGTAGAATAATCTTTGACAACTTTATGTTGTGCTAGTCCTTACATGTGCTTTATTTTTTTCAGGCATACGGAGGTTGTCGAATATGGCATCAGAGGAAATATCATTTGGTCAAACTAACGTTGATACGCTTCATCGAGGTTTTCTTTTGTAAATTATTGAAATGTTTAATATACTCTTCAATTCTACTTCATCTAGACTTTTTCAGTGCATCGCTATACTATGTGCTTTTGTAATAAGTGAAATCGGATTGATGCACGTTAAGCTTAGTTAGTGGGATGGAGATTTACTATAGTATTATGAGACTGTTACTTTAGCCCTTCGTAAGATTTCGTGTCTGCTTCTATACATTAGCACATTGTAAAAACTGAGTAGGATTTAGCAAGTTGAAGAATAATTCTGTACTGTTCGATACGCTAAAATCGCCTTATCTAGCCAGTTGCAAGTCTGTATACTGTTAAACGCCAAGTATGAAGTACAAGTAAATGTAATAACTTAGGTTTGATAGCTACTTCACTAATCGGTTAATATGCAGTGACATCATCAAATAGACTGTCCACTTGACAGTGAGCAAAGAAACAATTTTCATCTATTTCTAATATGCCGTTGAATCATGTGATGTTATCTGATGACCATCATTTCTATGATCAACAACTGCAGTATTTACATATCTAATTTATGGACATTAAATAACTTACGCCTTTATGCACCTGACTACCTCCAGTATTACAACAGTATTCCCTATTCATTTGATGTGTGTACGGTAAACAAGGCATTCATACATTATCCCACAAATGCCAAGGTTTCTGGTGTCACAAGTGTTAATAAGAGTTGCTTCCTCGGTTTCAATACAAATGACGTTCTAAAATATCTCTAGTCGTTGAACCCTTCTTGTAGCCTAGTTCCAGATTGTTTGCCTAGCCTTATTCTTAAAAAATGTGCAGATATCCTGTGTTATCCTCTCATGGACATATTTAGTGAATCTTTTTCCAGAAATGTTGTGCCAGCCGTTTGGAAGGACTTTAAAATTGTACCTATACCTAAGTCGTTTAATGGAACATGCTTTAAATTTAGACCTATTGCTATTACCTCTCCTTTTCTAAAAGCTATGGAAAAGTTACTCTTACTTAATCTTCAACCTTCACTTAAAGCTTTTAACGATCTCAAATAATTCGCCTATAAGCACAGTAGAAGTACTTTAGATGCAGCTGCAGTCTTGCATCACAACATTTTCTCCATTATAGTCGTCCACTACCAATTGTATTTTTGTTTGACGAACTTAATGTACATATGCATACGAAATGAAATATGTCAAGTGTGTGGACTAACTATTCCAGTGTCTTTTAATTCGCATCTACACTGTACTAAGATGAACAGCTCTCTATCAGAAGTCAGAAAATGCTTTTAAACTAAATACTTCCAAATGTCACACTGTCAATTTCAGTTTCCGATGTAAAAGAAAGTTAGATGAGGCTATTAATTCCCATGACCGTTGCAAAATTGATGAGAGTGGTACAGAAAACAAGTCTGACGTTAAGTAACTCGGACCAATTCATCACACAGTGTCTTAGCCTTAAATGTATACCACACGGATGCATAATGTTTATGAGCTAGGTATGCAAATCAAGGTAAACGCTAGTACGGTACACCCATTATTTAAAAAACTAACTCATATGTGAGAACTACGATTTGACCAGCTTTGCAACGTTTAATATATTTAGACACAATAAACATACACTGCTTACTTCTATGACGCATTATCTAAAGCTACCTTAAAGTAGTTCCCTCTGAAGGTAATCTCCTGTTGCTACTACCTAAGTGAGCAACTCAACGTTATCTTTGAATTACAAAGTGAAAGCGGACATCCTGAGAGCTTTGTGGGTGAAAAGATCGTCTCCTAGTCGAAAAAAACATATCCTAATCTCTTCGCGAAAGCGTTTAGAGGTAATTATCCTATCGCCTCAAATGACTTACTATTTGCTGTCACTTAAAAAGTAAAAATAAATTTACCGAAGGCAGCGTGTTTATGGTTTCTAGATATCTTAATGCACCACGAGGAAAAAGCTTTATTCATAGGGTTATAGCAATTAATAATAATAATATTTATTTATTCCTGTTTATGCAGGAACATACCAATTGTAGAGGCATGGATAATTTATTATATAAATTACAGTTTGTTTGTTCAATCTAACATTAGAGTCAGTCAGAACAGTCTGCAAAATAGTCTGTC